TCATAAAATTGAGGACCACAAAACCATTGCTTTCCATGTTAAAATGGTAAATATCCCATCATTTTCTGGAATGCATTGCCTTTAGATACTCATGGTCATTTGGGATATAGATATGGCCATATCTTTTGGCATTAATGCACTGTTTTGTTGATTTGATATGTCATATCAAAGTTTCTGCACGTTTCCTAATATTTTGTTTTGGTTTTGGATTGTTTTGGTTGGTCACAGCCACCTCAAAAATATGTGATAGGAAACGATCTCCATAGCCAACCGGCCAACCCTGGCACCCAACCTTCCAAGCGGGAACAACTGAGCCGCGCGGTTGCCGTGACGAAGATTCGGATCAAGCATGTATAGATATTTACCTATCAAAAATCGTGATTTTCTATATATGGTCTTGTTAATTCACTAGAGGGTAGGTTTCCAATGACCCCAATTGGTACTGTTGAAGGAATGTGTTGGTATGTGTTGGTTTCTTTGTTCAGCAAAAAGGTGGAATAAATATGAATACAAGTTGCAAAAATCTGCAAGAGTGTCCCAGCAGTTTCACAGCAGAAATAAACCGTTGCCAAGACACCTTCGGGTTCACCCTTCGGATTCACCCATCATGCCAGAGTTGTTGGTGGTTTTTCCATGATTTCCCCTTGGCTGTCAACCCCACAATGTATTCACTCCTGGGTTATTCAATTGGAGGGTACCATCTTAGTACGCATTGTAATTTCTTTGGGGTGCCCTCCCGAATCAACCAAGGTTTGTTACGGTTTGTTCATCTGGGTGTGACGTTGCCCATATATAATGATTATCATGCCATCCCTAGATTTCTGTAATGTTTCCATGGGTCTTTGGTATATAAATCCATACTTTAGCATCTCCCGATTATTGGTAGTGAATACCCAGAAAACATTGTGTGGTAATCTTGGGGGTGGTTTACTATTGCGTTTCTCAAGTTTTATCATTAATCTATCTATCTATCTATCTATCTATCTATACGGCATGGGTTTGTATATTCACCCTGGTGCACCCAAAAAAAAGACTAGTAAATGGACCTTCGTCCCGCCAAATATGGTATTTATAGTTTTGGATCCATCCAAAACCACTGGTATTTGAAGATCCCTCAGATTTTCATATATGTTCCACATCCCCATCTTGGTGTGTATATATCTGGTTGGTGGTTTCAACCCCTCTGAAAAATATGATAGTCAGTTAGGATTATTATTCCGAATATATATGGGAAAATATTGTATATTCACATATATATTGTCCAACGAAAAATACCGGTTCCGTCGCTCCGCCGAGCGAAACCGGGTGAGACATCAAATGACCACAGACTCAACCACCGTGGCTTCGACGATGCCTGGCGATCCAATCCAGGGTCCCCCGATCCCCCAGTGGTAGGTGGGATTGGTTCAGCCTGAAGTGGGCATGGGATAAGCCAATGGGAATCAGAATCGGATTGCTAAGCTCCTTTCAGGATGACTCTCCAAATAGTTTTAAAAATGATCAGCGAATTCCTGGTTGGTGGTTTGAACCCCTCTGAAAAATATGAGTTCGTCACTTGGGATTATTATTCCCAACATATGGAAAAAATGAAAAATGTTCCAAACCACCAACTAGATTCTATACTGTTGAAAAATCTGACACATCAGATCATGCCAGCTCCGAAAAGGCTGTATAAGTGCGCTTCGGTTTCTGAAATTAAATCATATAACCAAAAGATAAACTATCAACCAGCTATCAATAATCATTTCTTATAGTTGACTTTCCCAGCTATAATCAACAATTTCAAGTGTTTTTCGCTGGGAAAGTCAACATTAAAATGGTGGATTTTCCAGCCATGTGACTGATCCACCGGTTCCCCTGTGTCGACACAACGAAACCCTCCCAAAAAATGACCCCCCCAATGATAGATCATTATAAAAAGTCCTTAGTGGTTGCAGGTAGTGAACATTTTGGCACCATTCACTCATTGTTTCGATTCTTTTTTACCCACTACAGAAATGAATATGTCTATGATTCTATCACTATCTCGTTAATCATAAGCCCTGATATGCCCTTATCCTATTAATAGTAACAATGAATAACGATAAGAATTACCCTCTGGTAAACTAACATAACTATGGAAAAACACCTTCTTTAATGAGTAAATCAACTATAAATGGCCATGTTCAATAGTTTTTGTATGTTTAGCAGAGGGTACATTAGGATCACTAACTGATGAAAAATGGGATTACTGTGGCAAACCCAAAGCCATCTGCACCATCCCCAAGTCATCACCATTTGTATGGGTAGGATTGAAACCATCAGCAGATGGTAGGCTTTACACGGCATCGGGTTTCCCACATTCAACCCATTTATAATAGAATTTATACAGTAATCAGATTGCCCATTGTTTTTGATGGTGTTTTATCCATTATATCCACCTACCCATAAATCCGTCACAATGTGGGGCCCCTCACTGGTGGGGCATCAACTCACTTTCCCTCCAAGGTACTGGGCAATAGCGTCAGCATGGTGCTTGTGCTTTCCTGGCCGGGCCCTGAGGTCTCCTGGGGTGTTCCCATTGTCCATAGGTGAAATCAATTCCCATTCAAGTCTCCAGAAAAACCCCAATTCTTCTCATCAAAACAGCAGTTTCCCAGTCAAATCCATCATTGAATCCCAGTTTTTTCCACATATGTCCCATGGTTTTCCACATATGTCCCATGGTTTTCCATATGTTTCTCATGGAAATCCCCATTAGAATGTCCACCCCGCCACCCGGCCTTGCGCTTGGACTTGGATACGGCGCGCAACACGGAGCGTAAAGTGCCCGAGAGGGACATGTCGTGGTTCGACACCTCCTGGCGGATGATGGTGGGGTAGTTGCTGATGGACTACAATTGGTTACCATCTGGTTATGACTAACATAGCCATGGAAAATCACCATGCTATTAAGAACGGTAAACCATCTATTTCGATTAGGGCCATCTATACCATGGCTATGTTAAATAAACAGAGGGTATAGTGCACTATGAATAGTATTATGGACTATGGTGGCCAACTTTTTTCTAGTCCACTATAACCAATTACCCTCTGGTAAACGTTTAAATAACTATGGATCCACTCATTTTATAGCTGGGTCAATCAACTATTTCGACTGGGCCATGGTTTCAATAGCAAACTGTTGGTTTACCGGGTAGGCCCAGGGGGTTGGCAAATGTCCTAAATGACCATCACCCAACTATTGTGGAGATAATCACCAACAAATCCCCACAACAGGACATTTACCAACCCCTGTTATATAGTCTATGTTGGTAGACAATAAATATCTGATAGATAATAGATATCTGATAGATAATAGATAGTAGATGATAAATATCTAATAGATATCTTATTGAAATATCTGATCTCTATCTGATCTGTTTTATCTAATTTTCTGGTGGGGTAGCCTACTATATATGTATGTATATATTATGATTATATATATATATATATCATATGATGATGGGGTAGTCTATCTGAATATAAAACATTAGTATAAAAAGATAATTAAGTAACATTTAGATATCTAATGATGCTGATTATATAGGTCTATCTTAATTAGTCATCTTATCTACAGCTTATCTTTTTTGATAACTTTAGGCTTTTATATATATATACATACATGAAGATAGACGTAGCTGATCTATTATATTTATAGCTAATTAAGATATATAAATAGAGAGTGGGACAAGGAGCATAAACTTTGTTCCTCCTGAAGCATATATATATATATATGAATATGTATACATAATTATACATATATATATGTGTGTGTGTGTGTGAATCTGTATTTATCTTAATCCACAGTTGCTGATCTATTATCATATAGAGTTAGCTAATTTAGATAGATATACTAGATATACAGTATAATTACGTATGTAGTAATATAAACTTGTGCGTTTTTTTAATATCCTTTTTTGCTGTTGTTGTTGGTATTCCTGTTATGCTACATCTACATCATGTGACAACTGTACATACCTATTGTTCGATGTTTACCTTTGCTTCGTGACGTCGCGAATCGCGAAGCACCCCATCTTCACCCCAACGCCTCCGTACGGGACCAATTTTTGCTTGTCATGTTCAGCCTGGATGGGAGAGTGCCATGGGATGCCCAAAGGAGATGGTGAAAAAAGTTGGCATAAACTATCCTCCTCATCGCCAGAGAGGGGAATGATGTATCAAACATTGGGCATTTATGTTGGGAAAACGCCATGGAAAAAACCACAGCATCAAGTTTCCAAAAACATGGTTATGGAGATGTGCAATGGATGGAATTGAAAGCATGAAGCAAGTCGCAGTTTGCGCAACTGAAAGCCTCCCCCTATAAGGTGGTTCCCCCTACTTGTCATGGCTCAGTGGTCAGTTGGTTTATAACATGTTACAACTTAGATACTAGGTTAACTACGGTTTATGGTATATAGAACTAGAATCAATTAGGTTTACCCACCATTTAGTTAGATGATTTTCCCATAAAAACCGGCATTTATAGTGTGCGTTTCCCATATTTTCCAGTGGTTTTCCTATGTTTTCCCATGGTTTTCCTCTAACAAACTGGTACCAAGAAAGGCCAAGAAACACATAACCAGAGCTGCCAGCTGCATGGATGCGCGCGTTCTCCAAGCCTCGGGAAATCGAAACATGGAGGTTTTGCTCGGGAAATCGTAGGAAAACCATAAGAAAACCGAGGAAAAAATATGGGAAAATATGGGAAAATTTAAGGAAAAACATGTGAAAATCCACAAAATATGACTCATAGCTGGGAAAATCATCGAACTAAAACTGGTGGATCTTCCATAGCTATGTAAAATAACCGGTGGGTATGTGGTAAGCCCACGAACCATGCACAGTATCCCGGTATTCCTCACTGGATGAGGTTGGTTCATTTTTCGTCACCTACAAACAGTAGTTGTTTTCCTAAGCATGGTCGCGATTCTGCTGCAATCCTGCCATCTAAAATCAGACTTCAACTTTTCAACTTCTCAATCATGTGGGATTGGGAGTGCCACTATCCATTCCATTTTTGTAGATGTTTGCTGCTTAGTTGTCAGTTGGCATCGGCATCGGCGATCGGATGCCCAGTGGCAGGAGAAGAAGACGCTGCGACTGCGCACCGCCGCCGTAAAGGCCGCCAAGTCCCCAAGGTGCACCGTGACCTCCATGGAAGCCGTTGGGGGAAGCCCACGGCAGCGTGGAAGAAACGCCGTGGAAGAGGGGGAGATGGCCAGAGTTCGCCATGAAAATTGGGGATTCAACGTGATTCAACCAGGAATGTTCGGGAAAAACGATGTTTTTTCCGGGAAAAAAGTATGTTAAACAGAAATCAATGGTGCAAAATTGGATTTGATAGATATTGATAGGTGATTCAAGATAGGTAGGATGGTGGTTTTTCACGAGGCTAACTTGGATTGATGGTGGATAGATCTGCTGGGATGCTGATCCTCTGCTAAAAGTTGGCAGTCTTGACTGAGACAAGATTGCTTTGGTTCAAACCCAAATCCCCAAGTGTTGCTTTGAAGCCCCATCAAAATAGAATTAAATAGAACAAATGCCGTTCACCCCCATAAAAGTCAGCCTGGTTGGTGGTATACCTACCCCTCTGAAAAATATGAGTTCATCAGTTGGGATGATGACATTCCCAATATGATGAGAAAGTCATAAAAGCCATGTTCCAAACCACCAACCAGCAGCATTTCATAGGTTTTTTCATGTTTTTTTCCCATCCATCGAAGGGAAAAGCCGTAAAAGTCACCCGGATCCGTTCCCCTTCGCCTGGTGCGGCAGCACGCCGATGCCCAGCTGCGTCCAGGTGATTTCCACCAATTCCACCAGTAGAATCAGCATGGAGGCAAGACCCACCTGGAGCGTTCACATGCTTGTAACTTATAACATGCCCCTTGTGGGATTACCTTGGATTACCTTGGATTACCTTGGATTATGATGTAACTTCTGGTTATATAATATTATATAATGATGGTTAGTAGTGTTTCGTAGCGGCTAGTAGGGTTTATTGATGGTTCGCAGTGGTTCGTCACGGCAACTCGTGGTTAGGAATGCTTCGTAATGGTGACTCGTGTGGAGGCGAGACCCACCGGGAAAATTGAGGTTGGTAAATATAGGAGACATGAGCTAAATATCGGAAAGAGCTGTTCGGGATATAATGTCAACCCCGGATTAATAAACCTCTAGGCTGTTTAATTGGGGGGTACCATTTCAGTATTGGATTATGACTATTGGAGGAGTACCCTCTTAATTAATAAACCATGGTTTATTAATCCGGGGTTGACATTACCCACAAAATCCGAAAATCAAGATTCGCTGGTGAAATGCAGGCTTGACCATGTTGAACCAACGAAAAATACAGGGGTTGATTCCAGTAGCAATAATCCCGATAGAGTTGACCTAAATTCAGCCGGCGCCATGATTTTGCAGTACAATGGATGAGTCGTTCACCTGTTTGAAACCCTTGGATATGATTAAAACAACTGGGGGTTTAGGAGCAAAAGAACTGTTTTAAGACTTGTTTAAGGATACTTGAGAAATGAGAAATGAAAAGAAAAATGGATGGATCAATGTTCCAGTACAATATTGCCATCTAAACAGATTGGGGGCCATGTGATCATATAATTACAGTACATGTTTTGCTCAACCAACTCTTTGAGACCTGGAAGCAGATTTCTGACCAAGGCAAGCATTTGACCATTTACCGACATTTAACCTAGGGATTTTGTAGGCAGTATCTATCTATCTTGGCTTAAGCCATCTGAAGGCAAGAAATCAACAAAATAATAAATCTGCACGTAGTTACTTGGCCTTGATCTGGAAACATGTGAATTCAGATGGATACAGCCGATTTGAATCCCAGAGACCCCGGCAAACCAACGATAGATACGATAGAAACACATAAAAACCAACATCAGGATGGAAGAATATGAGGCCATTGGAGCTGCATTTGGCCACCACCCCTCCTTGTGATTCTTGTGCGCATTCGCAAAGCCTTGGGAGTCGGCACCGGTTTGGTGGCTTGGAGGGGAGGCAGTACCATTCTGACCGCCGTTTTGGCCATAGATTCAGTGCTGTTCTCTAACCTTGCCGCCAAGTGACAATCCGGAAGGTAGCTGAAGAGAACCGCATGGAAATGGATGCCATCCGCCAACAAGAACTCCTGAAACAGGCTGGGTGCATCCGGGCAGCAGCTGGGCCATAGTTTTCCCTGACTTTTGAATCGCATAACCAGTTTTCCTCATTTTGACCGGTTGATTCCAATGTTTCCTGCCAACTAATGCCCCGAACCCTGAAGTTGATGAACATAACTAAAATAAATTGGGTTTATGCTAGATATGAATCTGAGCAGTGTTCGATAGTGTTCAACAACTTCTGATCATTCCACTATACTGGTTGGTTCAGAACGGATTCACAGCTCATGCAGCCGCAACAAGTCGAGCAGCATGCCTCAAGGCACAACCCCCAGCGCTAAAAGTTGAACAAATGACCATTGTCCCCAAAAACCATGTGTCAATTTCTCACACTCCAAAAAAAAAATGTTGTTCCTGGTGATATCTGCCATTTATATATTTTATATCCTCATTGAAAATGGCCATTTATAGTGGATTTACCCATGAAAAATGGTGTTTTTCCATAGTTGCCCCCAATTTACCCAGGTCTTCACCCGTTGCCCCCGCAACGCGGGTCCGTCAGCGCTTGCCGTTCGCTCAAAGCCAAGGAGGCCCAGGAGCTGTAGGCCAGTTCCATGGCGCTTCGTTCCCCTGATACGTGGCCGGGGAACGTCCAATGGATAGATTTTTTGCTACTAATAACTGAGGAATATGGGGTAGATATTATACATATATCATATCATGTGTCATATATCATGTAAGATATTTCATACAACTGGGTTTTTAAGGGTAGAGATATACAATGATATTACATATTATATTCTATATATAGACACACACACATATATATATAATTTATAATTGTGTGTATATATATATATCATATGTCATACATAATCAGATTTCATAGAACTGGGGAGGATATACATATGGATAATGGATATACAATGACATATACATAGTTCATCGGGCTTGCAAACCGGCTTACAACTGGGGGATCTTTGGGGAGCCGTTTTCCAGGGGTTTCTAGCGCTCGGATTCATCTGGATCTTGGGAACTACCCCACATCTGAGGCAACCGAGGAGAGATTGCCCCGAGGATATTGCACCAGCCATGTTTCTGGATGTTTCTGGGTAAATATATGTAAATATAGTATTACTGGTTGGTGGTTTAAGCCCCTCTGAAAAATATTAGTCAGTTGGGATTATTATTCCCAATATATGGAAAAATAAAAAATGTTCCAAACCACCAACCAGATTAGTAATAGTTCACTAACCTGAAATAAGGCCATTTCGAGGTGATTCCCCTATACATTCACCATGATTCCAGGTCACTACGTCAGGTCACTATATTTTGCCCAAATATTCTCCCATTATATCATATCCCTTATATTCCCATTATACTACCATTTTTGTTGGTTAGATCACCATTTTTCCTATAGTTTCCTACAGTTTCATGGGTAAAAGCTCGCCATTTTCAGCAAGCAGCTGGTCCGGCAGATACATGCCAGGCGTAGGAATGCCAAATCCTGGCAACGTCGAGACCAATTGGCGCGGCAAAAGGTGTGCACAGCGTAATTTTCTCAGCAATGGGCATTGGGCAGATAAATATACATATACATATGCATATACATATACATATACATATACATATACATATACATATACACATATACATATATACACATATACACATATACACATATACACATATACACATATATACATATACATATATATATATATATATATATTAATAGTAATAATAGTAATAGTAATAATACGTATGCTACATATATATATACACATAGTATGTAAACCATTTCTACAATCTGCAGGTCTCCACCCAAGGGTACCCCTTCTGCATATATTATATGTATATCTGCGTGTAGGTGTACATCTAGACGTATCAGATTACATATTACAGAAAATCTGATAAAACACTATACATCGCCAAGCCAAACCTCAATAAGTTGGGTCATTTTTTTGGTGGAGATTTAAGATAAACCATGATTCTTTGCGACGTTGGTCAGTGAGGTCCCTACAATTCACCCATCAATGACCTCCAAGACCTCCCACGAAATTGAGAGGTTTCAGCCATCGATAAGAAAAAAAAACGTGTGTTTCATGGGTTGTTGTGCTTGGTTGTTCCCAAGTCCTAAATCCTCTATCAGGTATGTGGTTCTGATCATGAACAATGGGAAATTGCTATCTTTACCGGGGTATATAAAGCATCCATGTTTGGATCACAAATTGATATTTAAACGGGGAACTAGTCCATTGCCGCAATTTTGCTGGTTAGATTCCTACCCCCATGGATTTTGGTCCGTTTTCGACCATCCTTCCCCACCCGGTACATCTCTTCATGGCTTCAAAGCCCAAGGCTCTTCTAGGGTGTGCGTGGACAATGCCAAAGATCGGCCCCAGTGACAGAGATAGCCTCAGCACATGCTGCACAGAAACCTAGGAAAGCTGTGGGAAATAGGGGCCTTTGAATGGGGAAACTGATGGATAAAACGTGTGTCACAAAATGGTTGACATTTTTGAATTCATTACCAGGTTGGTGTATGGAAAATCTGAGGGAAACCATTGTTTTCTCTCCCCGCGTCGTGACGAAAGGCTCCAGTAGATCTCTTGGCTGCTGCGCAGCTGCAACTTTTGCAAGGCTTGTAGGCCTTTGCTGCGATGGCGTCAGGGACAAGCCATTGATCTTTTGAGTGGATTTAGGGGATTATATGGGTATGGATCAATACCTATTAACACCATTTTTAGGGGGATGAACATCCATTTACCAGCTATTTTGATGTTCACCAGGGGTACAAGGTTTTGACACACTGCCATATGAATTTTGCAATATTGCCAGGTTGACATATTTATATAATGGTATTGATAACCCCCACCAATATTGACAATACTACCATCAATACCGTGGTTCACATGTGTTTATATCTTGCTTGAACCACATGCAGGATGTTATCAATACCCATGTAGCATCATGTAGCAACCCCCAACAAGAGTGAGAAAGACAAGATTCTTATTATGTTATATAGTAGGGTGTTACTTTCCTATCTTGTTGGCAGTTGCTACAATTAGTTTTTGTTGGTGATTGTTGGGGATCAATTTTGCCGGTTGGCTGACTTACTTATTTGGGTTTGTTGCTGGATTGGCTGGTAAACTACGAGAATAGGTGTATGTAAACCCATTTGAAACCTTCGTGAGGTCTACAAAGCAAAACAAATGGCAAAATGAATTATTGCTGATCATTGGGCTAGCAGCATTAGATTTGAAGCGGGTGGAAATCTTACCTCAATCAACGGCAAGAAAAGTCTAATCTTGGATTTGCTGAGGGAACCCCTCAAAAAAAAAACACAAAACTTAATCAAATTCCTCATGTCTAGGGGATGTCCCATTCGGAATCCATGCCAGCCCAATCATCGACTCAGCAAAAAGAAAAAATGTGAGTCGTCATAATCCCATTCATATTCCATGACCCCATCAATATATCCAGTAATATTCCAAGAATATCCCATTCTGGAAATATACATCCATCAAATTGGTGGATTATCACAAGAAACTGTGGCCGACAACCCAGAGCGGCAAAGCACTCCTTTTCTTGGTTCTTGAGCCAAAGTCCAAATCAGACGGCTGTTTTAACCCTGACCTTGCTGGATTCTGGATGGCTGACAGTTCTAAGGAAGTATTCAGTACGGCATGCTTATGAACTGAACCATGCATTGTAAATCTACCCGCCTATGGTTGGAGTCTAAAGGCTACGCAACCCGTAGATGCTTACAAGCAGCAGTGAATTCATACAATGTGGTGCCCCCCAGTTATAAGTTGGTTTAAAACCCCATTAACTGTAGTTATAAATACCATAAACCATAGTTATTGGAGTTATAAACCAACTTAGCTATCTTGGGAGCCCCACATTGTACCTCTTTAGTAGAATTGGTGACACATACTTCAAGTGGTAGGTTTTCCTGAATTTCTTCTTCTTTATCCAGTAATATTCTAGTAATTATCCCCTTACTATTCCATTCTGGGTTTGAACCTTTGCCCGAGGCCATCGCGAGCTCCGCGAGCTTCGCAAAACTGGCAAAAACTGGTATGGCGGTATGGCAGGAAAGTCCCAACCAGAAATTTTCTCATGAGATCATCTAACATAGCTATGGAAAGATCCACCATTTTTAATGGGAAAATCCACTATAAATGGCCATTTTCAATAGCTATGTTAAATTACCAGAGGGTAGGTCATCTGTTGGTGATTTCCCCTTGCAAGGATTGCTGGAGTGCAGCTTTCCCTCGTGACAATCAAACATATGGCAATGGAAAACACATGAAAACACCCCGCTTTCAGTTGCAGCATCACAGATTACCAGGTTAGATTTTCAGCTACCAGGTTAGATCGATGGCACGGAGGCTAAAAACCCACCCATTTTATGTGGTTCAAATCACCAATCCCCAAGTCTTTGTCAGTTGCATCCACGGAGGTTCCCAAACATCTTTCTGGTTGGCAAGGAAAAACCCTGCAGGGTTTCCCATTGTTTTTTAATCCACAGAAAGGGCTAAGCCCTGCAAATGTTCTCTTCAAAAAAAATGCAAAAAATTATATGATGTATGTTGATAGTTGTTTGTGGTGGCGGCGCCCAAGGAGGGGCGGGACAGTTGTCACTTTTGCACATTGCGTATCTGTTTTTTTTTGGGGGGTCGGGGGGTGTAATAGCGTTCTTTTGCCTGCGTTCTCAGCAACACGTTCCTGCTACGTTGTAACATCTTCTTCAAGTAATTGCCAAGACGTTCCTGATACGTTGGAACATGTTCTTCAAGTCACTTCCAAGACGCTCTTGATACGTTGTAACATCTTCTTCAAGTAACTTGCAAGACTTTCTTTGATACATTGTAACATCTTCTTGAAGTAACTTCCAAGACGCTCTTGATACGTTGTAACATCTTCTTCAAGTAACTTGCAAGACGTTCTTTGATATGTGTAACATCTTCTTCAAGTACTGTAATTTCCAAGACGTTCCTGATACAAACTCTTGCGATCGAATTGGGGTCTCAGGATCTAGATCATGGATCGGTTAGGAAAGCTTTGTGAAAAACACAACAACAAAGTTGGACTATGGCGTCTCACATCAAGATGAAAAAAACTGACGATTTGCCACTTTCAAAAACACTGAAAGCGCAGCACTTCTACAGGCGCCGAAACCTTGTTTTTTAAAACAACCAAGGGATATGATCCGTATATTGTGTATTATATACTCTACATCCACATATAGCAACCCCCACAAAGACTCGCCAAGGGCCAAGGGGCTATACAGCACCGTTAGTGTGGTGCCTTGCGTGAGGAAGGGCGAGTGCGTAGCTCCTGCGAGAACCATACCGCGAGGTCCCTCCAACACTCCAAGGGGCCTGGGGTCTGTTGGATTTTATAGTAACATAGTTGGAAAATGGGAAATAAGTTAAATATATTTCCAAAAGTAACCCATAGGAATTCATAGTTTATATATGCTTACCTATGTGAGCATTCCTGTGTAAACAGATATAAACATAGATATAAACTATGAAATCCTATGTTTTTGTTGGGGGGGAAGTTCATGAAACTGCCCTGAATTCCATCAACTATGGATTCGAAGCAATCCATCAAGATGTTTCCTGCTATTTGAACATGGCGGTAGACACATTGTATCTGTTTGGAGATTCCTTTAGAAAAAAACTGGCGCTGCCTTTCAAGGTGGTGCCCGCCATGTGTTTGCTGGCTTCGTTTCCCCCTTCCAACCGTAGATATATCCACCATAAACCCAACAGTTCATTGACCTACTGATTTCCAACAACTTCAATAAGTTTACCTACGGATTTGCTTGAAGGAATCCCCAATTTAAAAATAAAAAACTGTAGATTCCAAGTGGACCTACTAGTGGGGAAATAAGCCAATTCATCTCCTGCCGTCGCGCCGATGCCGGCTAACATGCCCAAGGCAGAGAACAAAAACCTTGGCATTTCCGTTGCTCCAATAAGCCACAACGAAGTATAGATACGTCTACCATGAACCCTGGAGGCCCTGGACCCAGTTATTTCGTCTTCCACCAACTTACCAACTTGGCTAAGGATTTGGGGATTTAATACCTTTTAACCAACGGAAATTGGAATTATTTGGGGAATATGTCGTAGGATATTTGTTTTTTTCAAAACTGAGAATGCGGTATACCCTCAACATGGATCAAACATTTACGATAATTTCAATACGGAAAATGCTGATTAACCCATGGAATTTGGGGGTCCTTGTCAGACAAACCCTTTTCCGGCGTTGGCGGCTGGATGGTTTCATGATCCTTTTATGAGGGCTCGTTGATGGGCACATGGATGGGTGTGAACATGTAGAAACCCACGGCACATGGAATATTTACCAGCCATGATCCCATTGTGCCTGATATTTGATGTGTTTGATTCACCACCATCAACCATCATCTACCCTTATGCGCGTACGCCCCAATTTGAATTGGCCACAAGGGTCTCTGTTGTTGGTTGCTGCCATGTACTGTGCGCAACTTTGATTGAACGAAATTACATTCTTATACAACATTCACTGGGGTAATCAAACATGGCAATGAAAAATCATTCAGTTCTGGATAGACCTTTGTGATTTACCTCATAAATGAATTGAGAATTGTCACCGGCTTGATAATATGCAACTGACGTTATGGGTCAAGTGATGGGTCAAGTGTTATGAGGTTAAGGTATGTCAATTCATAATTTTTACCAGGGGTTCACGTAAATAACACTTACAACTTACAACCCCAAATAGTAATCACAACAAACCTTATAACCCATAACAATGGGTTACAAATTACTTACGACAACCCCCTACCACCCCAGCCATGGCTTCGTGGCTTCGCCCAGGCACAATTTGTAGGCTGCCTCATCTTGCTCTGCCGCCCTGGGGTTTCGACAAGGTGACCCTCCAGTGACCTAACATAGAAAATAGATGTGGAAAATCCATGAACATCTGTGTATAAATATCTATCTATCTATCTATCTATCTATCTATCTATCTATCTATCTATCCTATCCTATCCTATCCTATCTATATATATATATTTCTCTCTCTCTCTATCTATCTATCTAATTATTTATCTATCTATCTATCGATCTATCTATTTATCTCTATTCTATTCTATTCTGTTCTATTCTATTCTATTCTGTTCTATCCTATCCTATCTATCTATCTATTTATTTCTATTCTATTCTATTCTGTTCTGTTCTATTCTATTCTATCCTATCCTATCATACCCTACCCTATCCTATCCTATCCTATCCATCCATCTATCTATCCTATCCTATCATATCCTATCCTATCTATCTATCTATTTATGTCTATTCCACTCTATTCTGTTCTGTTCTATTCCATTCTATCCTATCCTATTCTATCCTATCCTATCCATCCATCTATCTATCCTATCCTATCCTATCCTATCTATTTATTTCTATTCTATTCTATTCTGTTCTGTTCTATTCTATTCCATCCTATCCTATCCTATCCTATCCTATCCTATCCTATCCATCCATCTATCTATCCTATCCTATCCTATCCTATCTATCTATCTATCTATCTATCTATTTATGTCTATTCTATTCTATTCTGTTCTGTTCTATTCTATCCTATCCTATCCTATCCATCCATCCATCCATCCTATCCTATCCTATCCTATCCCATCCATCCATCCATCTATCTATCCTATCCTATCCTATCCTATCCATCCATCTATCTTATCCTATCCTATCCTATCCTATCCTATCCTATCCATTCTATCTATCTATCTATCTATCTATCTATCTATCTGTGTGTGCGCAGATCATGTGAAAACAGGAAAACACCAGGTTTTCTCCACATCTCAGAGGTGTCTGCATCTTGGTGCCCTGGATAGGTTTGAATACGCCCCTTGTGCCAAATGCCAAAGATCATATACCCTCTGGTTGGAAAGTTACCATCTGGTTATTTAACATAGCCATGGAAAATGGCCCATTTATAGATGGTTTACCGGTTTACCTACAAAAAATGGTGATTTTCCATGGCTATGTTAAATAACCAGATGGTACAAGAAAAAAACCATATAGACATGGAAAAAAGACATAAAAATTGACCATTAATATATAGATTCTAAATGATTCAAAGGATGTGTTTTCTTCCATATCCGTGTTAATTTCATGGATCTGTCTTTAAAACTCATTCAGCATCATTCAACAAACCAAAGTTTTCCAGCTGAAAACCCCGCCTTTGTCGCAGGATTTGCAGGCTCAACGGTGTGTTCTCAGCTTGCATGAACTGCCCGAAGACGAAGCTTTCGTGCAACCTAGGCGGAGCCCGGGCAATGGGGATGGGACGCTTGATGGTACCACCCATGTTCACCACATAGACATGGCTTGGTCCGGAAAATGGTACAAGACTGTCGTTTTAACGAAGCAGCCTATAGGGAGCCAGCAGTGCAAAAAGGAGTCATCTCCAATTCTTCGCCATAGATGTTTCCACGTTTCCGCAGCTGAAATCCACTTCCTGTCGATTTTTTCCTCCTGAAATTGGCCAAACACCCAGATTTTTGCGGGGTGAAATTCCACAAAAATCCCACTTCTCCACATTTTCTCGAGGTGAAAATCACCACAAGACGCCCATCACTTTCCAGGCAGCTCCGAGATCGAGGCGACAAGGTCTGCGGTCTCCTAGAGAAAAGTCTTCCATCGCTTCATCGGGGGAAAGGCGATTTTCACGATCTGAATGGAAAGTTACCATCTGGTTATGACTAACATAGCCATGGAAAATCCCTTACAAATGGAGGTATTCATGGGAAAATCATCTATAAATGGGCCATTTTCCATGGCTATGTTAAATAACCAGAGGGTATTTGGTCAGATGAAAAGTGATGATATGTAACGGCGTAATGGTATAAGTATAATGTGTCATCTTCATATGCTTATTGTTTCCTTCGGTCTAATGATGAAGACCAACTAATTGTAGCATGTTCATCTTCATATGCAAAGTTATTTGACCTTATGTTTTAAATGCTAGAAGTAGTTGATATATCAGTTGGTCCAATGTGGGAGAAACGTTGTATTTTCAAATACCTTCATCTGTTGCTTTGGTGATTCACGGTCAAAACCCCCATCTCAGGTTTACCTGCTTTAGCCAAGTTGTATATATATACATACCCATGCGCATACCATTGTATACCATATTCTGTTGTTATCATACTTCCAGGAAAGTGATGGAAAATCCACTGGAAAGCGCCTTATTGGGGATATCACTGGACATAACGAACTCTGATACTATATTGCCCCACAGGTAGCTTTCCCAAATATCTGCATCAACCGGATGATGTTCCCCAGAGATTTAAACCAACCTGATTCGGGGTGATTCCGCCCTATTACGAACCATCATCGTGCAAGGCCGTGCGTCTCTGTGATGTGGAAGTAGTAGCAATATCGAATTTGTCTTACCATCGCTTTCTTTTCTGACAACAAATGCATTATTGCAGCATAGTATTGTTGGGTCCATACGTGGTACAACATGAAAATTACGACTGCTGTGATATGTGGATGACCGCCAATCATGCAATAGACCAAGTGACCTACCTGGTGACGGCATGAAAACAGCTCCTCAAAAAGAGGCGAGAACTGCAGAGAAGAGTCGGGCCGGAAACCAAAGCTATAGGAATTCATATTTGGCAAAGGTGTGTTCAATATTCATTGATAATTGATAATCAGATAGTCTTCATCTGTAAATATGTCCAAAATCTTAAGTTCCCATCCGTTTTTGAAAAAAAGCTCAAACCTCGACCACGGATCCTGCGCTTCGCCCCCAGCCCCTTCCCTCCCCCTTTGTCAGAAACCTCCGTCAAGATCTCGAAGGAAGGCACCACATTGAGATGGTTCTCCAAGAGCTTCGACACGGCGCTGTCGGGCTGTTGGCACTGCTTGGGCAGTTGCATCGTGAGGTGCTTGGAACGACCCAGGCCTCAAACGAACAACAAAAAGATGGGCCATTGGTGAAGTCACTTTGAACAGTAGTTATGTAGCGAATGTAGTGCATCATGAACTAACTATCCATCCATATCCATCCCCAGCATATCATATCAAGTCCGTATCCCCATCTCCAGTTCATCAATGGATTACACATGGGGATGGATATAGATGTAGTGCATCATTGTCATCGGACTCAGTGGATCATGGCTGCAGCGGTAACTGGAATGAATAGGAACCCCCTGGTAAACATACAAAAAAACATCAAAAAACTATGGAAACTCACCATTTTTTGATGGGTAAATCAACTATTTCGACTGGGCCATTTACATGGGGGTATTTTTGGTTGTGGGTTGTACCTTTTTTGACCCACGGACTCTAACCCATCTGCTAATCCCATGGCCCATCTAAGTAACCATCAGGGAATTATGATCTGGTCAACCAACCTTGTGACATGGGAAGGCTATGGCTTTCAGGAATATGATGATTATTGTCCACAAACATTAGTTTTTGTTTACTAGCCAAACTGCTTCTTTCACCAAAAATCGGATAGAACTGATAGAACCAACTGAATGAAGGTCAACAAAAATCTGTTAACCAACTGAATGACGGTCAACAAAAATCTTTTTGTAGCAACACTGAGCTATCGAATCTATCGAACCAAAAAAAAAACGGGGCCATGGGCCATCCCTGCTGATCTGCCCGGCCTTTCACTGCCAGGTACATCAGCAAACCTGACGGACTGGTGCTGCTGAACTGGTGGTTGGTAACTGGGAGTATAATGCGAAATATAAACTGCTGGGAGTGTAATGTTAGTAACTGGTGTAACTGGTGGTTGGTTAGTAAACCATCTTATTGATGATAAATAATTCATAGATACCTTTTTTGGTGCCCCCCAGTTACAAGTTGGTTTATAACCCCATAGCTAATAGCTGTTCTTGGGCCATTGGGGCCCCGGTGGTGGAAAGATGTCACTACTTGGAGGTGAGGTTCCAGTGAACTAAGCGGATCACTATTTATCTGGGTAAATTATATATATTTCACTAACCTGAAGAGTTGGCCCATTTTGGGATGATTTCACTAACATAAACCATGATTATCATGATTCCAGGCTTCGGGAGGACAGGGTTCGGTCGTGATCAAATTTACCCAGAGATATAAATATATATATAGTATATAGTATATATATATAGTATACATATAGTTATGGCTTCATATCCCAATCCCTAGCTGTTTTGTGACATGTCAAAAAATCCGCTGATTTTCCCACGGTGCTTTTTTGGGCCGCCAATAGCGCCAAGATGCCATGGATCCAGTCCGGTCTCTCCTTGATGCCCGTCCACACCACGAAATCCTGCGAGAAACGCTGCGATGGAAAGATCCAACCAGTTTTGTTATCAAAAGGCCATACAAAAACTCGGAATTGTGTTGTAGAAAAACCCTAGAAAAATATAAAATCACCGATTCATCATCAGAAAAAATATAAATATAAATAAATATATATATATGTGTGTAAATATAAAATCACCTTAAAAACTGGTTGGTTGATTGAACACTGGAGGGCTATTTCCCAGTAGTCCGATCAAAGGTTAAAACCTCTGGACCTGTATACAACGTGATGCCTCCTGCTCAGCTAACTTGCTTTGTAGCTGAACAATTGGGTTTCTGGGGGCACCCACCGAACAATAAGTGGTGGAAAAACCAGTAAAAACCGCAAAAATAACTGTACCATTTGGAAATTGTAATCACGATGCTCAAAAAATATTGAACAAGGGGTATTCAAATGCATTTAGCCATAAAAAGATGTGGTTCAACAAAGCACTTCAGATGCCAGGGCTCAACCCATCACGAGGGTTCATTCATGGTAGTTCACCAACATAGCCAACTACAGCCATTCGTCAGCAATCATTACACTCAAATATGGATCAATTATATAATTATGTCTAATGTGCACCTGAAGCAGATGTGCGCCCTTTTTTGATACATCCATAGCCATCAAAACCCTTGAAACTAAGCCTGCAGCGCACAAAATACCCAGAATGACCACTGTGAAATTGCGCATTCTCCCGCAGAAATTACAGCACACTTGGTGCCAATGAAGGTCAAGCTACGCTCACCATGGTGGAACCGCGCCAACAAATGCGCAACGTACTGCTCGGACAGGTCACCCGTTCAAGGCTCTGATTGAACTCCTGTCCAAACGTCACGTTTTGCAAATTCCTCGGAAAAGTTACCCCTTCAAGGCTCTGATTAAAGCACCTGCCAAAAGTCAAGATTTGTAAGTTGTGTGGCAATGTCGGCCGTTCTGGGCGCTCTTCAGATTTCTCACCAATAGTCAAGTTTTTAAGTTTGCTCAGCCAGCTCACTGGTTCAGGGCTCTGATTGAATTTCTCGCCAAAAGTCAAGCTTTGAAGGTTGCTAGGAAATGTCACTCCTTCGAGGCTGTTGTTGAAGTCGCGCCCAAGGGTCAAACTTTCCAAGCTTGGAGGGAGATGATACAAATACTTACGTATTGAAAGCACCTGCTATCTGTGTGATCCCTTCCAATGCAAACTCTTCCCCAGTGACTTGCATGTTGACGACGTAACGCCAGGCGGTATGTAGATCCGTTGGAATGTAAGTGCAGGACAGGGTCGCAGTCTGACTCAGAATACCTTGCTCCTGCAAGGTTTGGTGGAGCAGCAACAGTGAATCAAGATGGTGGAGCGCGCACATGGCGCCTCTCTTTGGAGGGAGCTGCTCCGCAACCATCTTTCGCACGTCACGGCCCAGAGTCGAAGGGCTGACCTGCAGAATGCATGCTTCACCTGACATCGGCTGAAGATGGCCCCCAATTCATTTCCAAAAGAAATGACACACATCATATTCCCAATAGATCCCCCTCTCTCTTGGTGGATCCAGACAACAAAGAACATCCAGGTTGCAAATCCAGGTTGCCGTTGAGGCGAAGCACATGGAGATCAATCACTGGAGCCACTAAGCGCTGGCAACGTGGCTGCATGATCGCCCTTAAATTACCTATCCTCATCTATCCTCAATATGTCAATTCATAGGGGTCATCATTCCCTTCAGCTTCGAAACCGAAGATGAAATGGTGTTATGGTGTTATGACGCTCAGGCATATGGGTGTAACTGCTCAAAACCATCATTCTCATTCATTTTCAGCCTTGAACCATCACAACATGGGTGTCAATAAATCTGAGCCATCCCAGCCATACCCGTAAGAATCAATCCATCCGCTCTTTTTCAATACTTCACCCTTTACTTTTTGAGCCCCGGAAACACATCAAACATCATGACATATCAATCATAGTCTCTCCAAGAAGTCTCAGCCACCATGGTCACCTGCGGGGCCTCACTTTTTTGATGTATCGACTCGGTGCAGCGGTCTCCTGCATTTGTTGCCACTGTTCAGGTCGCAGCTTCTTCTTTCCTGCGTGCAAAAAGGAGAGTAGGCCAACGGGGAGGCAAAAAGAGGGAGCCAACCGGCCTAACCAAACAACCCAGTCGTGCTTCGAAATGAGTTTCTGGTGTTAAGTGAAAATTGGTTGAATCAACCAGTTGAATGGAAATATGAATAGCTTCTATTCCATTTGTAGTCATTTACATCATTTCCCACTCAAATCTCACAAACTTTCCCAAAGATCAAGTCAGCCCTGAAAATTGCCAGAGTCCCCCGTCTCCATACCAATGCTTTCCGTAGCTTCGTAAATGTGCGCATGTCGGCGTACCCGGTGGTGCCCCAGATCCACCGGTCAATCATGATACAAAGAAGTTGAGAAGCAGTACAGTAGGCCTTATTTGCCATGGAAATGAGGCTATTTTGAGTGTACAAGGCAGTGCTCCCCAGTGTAATTTGGAGAAGTTTTACCCTAGACCAATAGCTACAGTTAGGGTAACCTACTTATTTCTACCAATTTAGCAAAGTATGGGGAACCATAACCACGTCTCCTGGGCGTATACCGCGGTACCGGCATCCCCCTTATCTCCCATAAAAATTGGTACAAAAGGTTGGGAATCACATTGTGACATTGACATCAGCTGCTTGGTGTCATACCATGCTACAAAATCCATCCACCTTGACCCGTCGCCCAAAAGCACCTGGTTGTCCAGATGTGAAATCGTCATAGCGATCAGCAGCCAACCACAAAGCACCTAGTCCGCGATGCCAACCAATCTAGAATCTAGATGAATGATGATGAATCTAGGTCTACATTCTCCTACACTTAATAGATCTAAAAAAAGAATGGGCTACCCCCGAAAAAAATCCTCCAGTTGTTGGATCACCAAGGCACTCATCATGCAGCTCAGCGCCCGAAATCTCTCCGTGTCGCTGGTGAAGAGCGCGTGGGTTCCCACCTCCGGAAGGAGCTCGGGGAAGAGCCTCACGCAGCTCGTCCAGCCACGGAGGGAGAGATTTTCGGACAGTCCGAAACGGCTAAAAAAACCAAGGGCCAAATTGGCGGTTGTTCACCATGCATTTTTTTTTCGAAAAGGTAAGGTTGTGTAAAGATGCCAGCCACAAAAAGATCAGATGCGATTTAAACAACTGCACAGAATAAACACGAAAAAAGCGGTCTAACTTGTTCAATCTACCAAAATAACGCGAAATCGGGGAGTAAAGCGAAGGTCCGGAGTTGAGTTGCATGTGGATTTCAAAGGTTGGGATTTCTCCTGGAAGCACGGGTCAAGAGTGGGGGTGATGTTGCAAAAGACGAATTTGGAGGTGATTTAATGTGATTTAATCTGCAAGGAGTTGGGTTTCGAGACACTTGAACCTATACCCCATAGGATCCATGTATGGCATATATGCTAACATTTGGGGTATATTGATGGTAAATGTCACCATATATAGCATACATGGATCCTATGGGTACTACAACCTATGAGAAACCGGATTTACGATAAGTTGACCAATGGAAATGTGGATTCAAGACCATTTAGCCAAAGAAAGTGAGCCTTTTTTGCCGCAAGGAGCTACATAACCAATACTTGGATTTTTTTACTTCAGGGCCCCCCAAACAAAAGAAATACACGCAAACCTCTCTCAGTGGTTTGCCCAGAACGGTGGATTTCCGATTGAAAATTTCAAACATCACATTTCGCAAGGCTCTTATAATGTGGCAAGCCCCATCGTAACCTGTTAAACATGCGTTGAAACTTCCCCTTCCCAAGATCGGCCATGGGATTAGTTGGCTAGTAACTGGATCATAATCATGTATATCCATGTATAATCTATTTACGGACGAGCTGAGTTCAATATCACTCCGTGGCCCAATGTACCCTCCGGTAATCAAACATAGCAAATGGAAACATCACCCATTGATAGGGGACATCATCCATTGATTGATGATTTTATGGATATATATCTATATAATTTATATATATACATATATATATATATACATATATATACATATATATACATATATATATATACATATACATATATATATATGTGTGTGTGTGTGTCCCTCTCTCTCTACTATATCTACATATCTATATATTTCCCAGCCATTTTTAGCTCCATGGATTTCCAGGATTACCAGCCTCTCCAAGTCCTTCAGTGTTTTTTCCCCTGGGCGCCACTGTCGGACTACCAGGACGACACTGGGACTACCATATTTAACATAGCCATGGGAAATGGCCCATTTATGGATGATTTTCCCACTAAAACCTCCATTTATTTCAGGGATTTTCCATGGCTATGTTGAATAACCAGAGGATAAGTAGTACTGTAGATAGTTTTTTTCCACTCTGGCTGTGACTTGTTCAGTCGGCTGCTGCAGCCCCAAAAGCTCATTATGTCATTGTGAGCGACCAATGTTGACTTGCGAAGTCATAAAGGTAACTGTAGATATAGTACTTATAAATCTTATAAATCAACAATATCAGCGGCTACCCTCTGGTGAACTAACATAGCAATGGAAAGATCCACCCATGTTTAATGGGAAAATCCACTATTTCTATGGCAATTTTCAATTGCTATGTTAGTTCACCAGAGGCTAATGCAAATTATTGCTAAGTAGACCTTGTGTATGACAATTGTTCATCCCCAGATGGAAAAACTTCAGCAACCCAACCCTCGCCTAGCTTCGGCTACATTTGTATATAAACCAGGTAGAAAAACCGAAAATAGAAACCATCCATATGAACGGTTAATGTACAGTTAACCAATCATCAAAGCTTTTTGTTGGAAATATCCCAGTGAACATGACAATGTTCAGCATTCAACTTTCATGTTTGTTCAGTTGCATCATTTGGAGTTTAAAAGCAACCTTCAATTGAACAAGTTTTACCCTCTGGTAAACTATCATTAGCTATTGAAAATGGCCCAGTCGAAATAGTTGATTTACCAATTAATAGCATGGTGATTTTCCATTGGTTTTTGTTTGTTTACCAGGCCGGGTAGACTCCTTGATTTTGCCCTTTGCCCAACTCCGGAGTTCTCCATGCTGTCTCCACCCCCCGTCCCCATCCCAAGCGCCACGTCGCGCCTGCGGGGGTCTCTCCGGACAGCACCGACTGGATGAACGCCAAGATCTCCTGCGGCCAACGTGGCCATTTGGGAATGGTAAAACTGCCACTACTATTGCAATTGGGTGAAATTGGGGATGATCAAAAGGGAACTGTTTTACCAACATTCATCCAGGGATCCCAAGTAATTAGCAAATCCTGCGATCCAGCCCCAGCCTCGCGCCCTGGATGAGGCCCCTTGATCTTGAAGTGCCCCAGCATCTTTTCCTCGGAAAAAATGTGTTCAGCTGCAGGAAAGAGCCGTGGTTTCCCATGATATACTTATCTGGCCAGTTATAGTGGCTAGCACTTAGAATATGGTGGTTTTCATCCTTGAGTTCCCCTGTGCTCTGTTAGAGGCTGCAAATTTCCACAAGGTTCCATCTTTTATTATGATTTCTTGGCACTTAGAACATTCGTTTTTTTTTCAGATATCAATCAATACATTACTTCTTGAAGTGTGGCATTTGCCATGGCAGCATGGAGATTTCGATGGAGATTTTCGATGGAGCCATCTGGTTTTGGAAAATTCTAACTGCTAATGTTCCCAGAATTTTCTAAGTGAGGTGTCGTATGGTTTTCTAACTGCAAAGAAGTTGAAATCTGGATCATGAAATATCTGATAGAAGTCCACTATAGATACTATAGTATGCGTTGTTCAATACAGTTCCATTAAAGCAAGCCATTGACATGCCATTGACATCAAACAAAAACGCTTTGAAGGGATGTTTAAAGCCGCGTTTTCGGACGATGAGTCGCATCAAACCCTAGGCACCAACTGGCCAACATCCATAAGGATGAGGTGAGGTGGTGAGGCTACAGCATGACTTGCAGAGTTTATCCAGGTCATGGTGATTGCTTATTTACGATGTATTCCCAGTAGGTTCCTATCATATCCCCCTAACATATGGCTGGTCAAATTATACATAATTCCCTATAAGTAAACCACTTTATATAAATCATTATCAATCCATCACACATCCGACCCAGGATATTTATAAATGATATAACCAGGCTCATGGCATACTCCCATTTTATACTTCCCAAAAACAATGCTATTATCCACACATCCCCCATTTCAGGAGCGCAACGATGCGCAACGCACACAACGGATGCCCGCCTTTGATAGGTGCCGCAATTGATAGACGTCCGTCCCTTCGCTGCACCTCCGAATGGCCTGGGTCGCTGGGGTTCAACTGGTCTCAACTCATGCAGGAAAAATGATTTAATGGTGATTTAATGGTGATTGAATGGTGATTTAATGGCGATTTAATGGTGACTCTATATATATATATTATAAATACTATATATATATATATCTGTGTATGTGTGCGTGTGTATGGTATTATTTAAATGACCAGCCATATGAGTATCTGAAGAACCTAGGTCAAACCACTCACCAGTAGCTCTGCCTCTGCGCTCAAAACTTCCTCAGCAACAGTCTCCTGGGCGGCAACGACAAGGTGCCCCAAATGGTTGGCGAAGTTGATCAACATAACTCCAAACATGGGTTTACGATATTTAACTAACTTTGGTTAATGATATACCAAGTTATATGATATACCAAGTTAACTAACTTAGTTTATGATAAATAGGGTTTATGATATATAACTTGGTTAATGGTGATGATATACCAAGTTATAACTCGGAGGCCACCACCTTGTATGGCCAAACTAACATGGCCATGCATTTCTTTAGGAAGCTGACTGGGCAAATAATCTATGAATGGGCCATGTTCCATAGCTATGTTAGTTGACTGGAGGATAATTGGTTATGAACTACTAATGTCACGTAGACATGGAAATGTCTGACATTTGATTGTGAATTGATGAAATCCCTAACCAATTGTTGACCATTACCAGTTACTGTGGGATTTGCTATGGGATATTGTGAACATGTGTGAGCTGCATTTCAAGAACCATCATTAAAAAAAAATCAGGATGTCATTGGGGATATGCAAATATCACCATATATATATATATTATACATATATATATATATCACATATATATATATCATATACTGAGGAAATCAAGACCTAGTGACCTAGTGCTTCACACGCTAAAAATCCCAGGAAAAGTTACTGGAAAAGTCACGCCATAGCCTGGTGCAATGGCTTGGATCATTCATTGGACCTTCGCATGTTGAGGTCCCAATGAAGGTATCTTTTTGGATATGTTTGGTATCTTAAAAAATGTGAAAATCTATGGAAATCTATGGTTAATGGAAAATCTATGGTTAATGGAAAATCTATGGTTAATGGAAAATCTATGGTTAATGGAAAATCTATGACTAATGGAAAACTGGTTGGTGGTATACCAACCAACCATCTTGAATTAAATCATGGAGTGAGTTCGTCAATGGGAAGGATGACAGCCCCTATTATATGACATGGAAAAATGAAAGATGTTCCAAACCACCAACCAGTTAAAATCTTCCCAGTTTGAGCCACCGGTTTGCCGGGTCCTGTGCATTGAGCCTGCCCTGCAAGGTACGAGCGTACCTCAGTGAACTGATGGAAACATATGGAAACTGGTTCAGGGGAACTGATGAGGATTGAAATTCGGGAAAACGTAAATGGCCAAGCTTAGGTGCCTTGTTTTCTCCCTCGGTTTGTATTACATTCCCATTTATGGCAAGTCATTAAAGCTCTAAAACCACGGCAAAGGCTACTCAGCGAGGTCAAAGACATGAAATTGGATGGGCAAAAAAAAAGAGTTCTGTGTAATTAATTGCTGGATTTGAAACAAACCAACATCAAAATCATCAAAGTTCAGAGAAAGCTCTGCATAAATCCGAGAAGCCTTATCAAGTTGAGAATCCACCAATTGGGCAGTCAGACCCAAACAAAACGGGAGAGCGTCGATTCGAATATATAAACCTTCCCAGAAATGTGGTGTCGCCAGTTCTACCAGTCAACTTTATCCGACCTTGCCAAACATGCATCATGTGTTTAGATGTGCCCTAGGGTGGAAAACCCCTGGTTCCCCGTTCAGAAATTAAAATTAATCTTCAAACGGTAGGTTTTTCTCACATGTTTGGTATTTCTTTGTAAATGTTTAGCCCAGGCTATTTCGTCTTTGGTTTCACCAAGAAATCACACATCTCTGGATGAATTTTAACTTCACCAACCTCAATAAATGTCATCCGAGCCGCTGGTAGACATAACTGCAGCATTCTGGATGCTCCTTTGGTCGCCCAATTGGAGGTCAGGATGGCACTTGATGGTAAACAATGGTAAACATCCCATTATCAAAGGAAGTTTAGGGGGAGAAACTTCCGTGTTACGGACTTTTAGAATGTCAGGGAAAGAGTTAGTCAAAGAAAGAGTTAGTCAAAGAAACAGTTAGTCAGGGAAAGAGTTAGTCAAAGAAAGAGTTAGTCAGGGAAAGAGTTAGTCAAAGAAAGAGTTAGTGAGGGAAAGAGTTAGCAAAGAAACCGTTAGTCAAAGAAAGAGTTAGTCAAAGAAACAGTTTGTCAGGGAAAGAGTTAGTCAAAGAAAGCGTTAGTCAAAGAAAGAGTTAGTCAGGGAAAGAGTTAGTCAAAGAAAGAGTTAGTCAAAGAAAGAGTTAGTCAAAGAAACAGTTAGTCAGGGAAAGAGTTAGTCAAAGAAAGAGTTAGTGAGGGAAAGAGTTAGTCAAAGAAAGAGTTAGTGAGGGAAAGAGTTAGTCAAAGAAAGAGTTAGTCAAACAAAGAGTTAGTCAAAGAAACAGTTAGTCAGGGAAAGAGTTAGTCAAAGAAAGAGTTAGTGAGGGAAAGAGTTAGCAAAGAAACAGTTAGTCAAAGAAAGAGTTAGTCAAAGAAACAGTTAGTCAGGGAAAGAGTTAGTCAAAGAAAGAGTTAGTCAGGAGTTAGTCAGGGAAAGAGTTAGTCAAAGAAAGAGTTAGTCAAAGAAACAGTTAGTCAAAGGGAAAGAGTTAGTCAAAGAAAGAGTTAGTGAGGGAAAGAGTTAGTCAAAGAAAGAGTTAGTGAGGGAAAGAGTTAGTGAAAGAAAGAGTTAGTCAAACAAAGAGTTAGTCAAAGAAACAGTTAGTCAGGGAAAGAGTTAGTCAAAGAAAGAGTTAAAACTCTAGGATCGTTCCCTCACTGTAAATGGCATTGCAAGTGGTGCTGGTGGAGGAGTTGCCGACGGAGTTTTGGAGGAAGTCTCGCACGAAATGCGTTTTTGAGAGATAGCAGATGCACGAAACCCTATGTTTTTCCATACAAAGTCCGTCCCCGAACCTCGATGATCTACCTCTGCGGTGCGACGGTTGCGAGACGGTCTCGTGTGTGGTCGGATCATGCTCGGATCATGGGGATCATTCTCGGATCGGTTCCGCATTGTAAATGGGGTTTCAACTGTTTTTCGTGCATGTGTGGTCGACAGAATTCCATTGTGATTTGCAACTGTCGGATCGTTCCCGCATTGTAAATGGGATGCAAGTGGTGCTGGTGGATGAGTTGCTGATGGAATTGCATTGTGATTTGCAACTCTAGGATCGTTCCCTTCACTGCAAATGGGATTGCAAGTGGTGCTGGTGGAGGAGTTGCCGATGGAGTTTTGAAGGAAGTCTCGCACGAAATGCGTTTTTGAGAGATAGCAGATGCACGAAACCCTATGTTTTTCCATACAAAGTCCGTCCCCGAACCTCGATGATCTACCTCTGCGGTGCGACGGGTGCGAGACGGTCTCGTGTGTGGTCGGATCATGCTCGGATCATGGTCGGATCATGGTCGGATCGGTCTCGGATCGGTTCCGCATTGTAAATGGGGTTTCAACTGTGTTTCGTCTATGTGCGGTCGACAGAATTCCATTGTGATTTGCAACTGTAGGATCGTTCCCGCAATGTAAATGGGATTGCAAGTGGCGCTGGTGGATGAGTTGCCGATGGAATTCCATTGTGATTTGCAACTCTAGGATCGTTCCCTCACTGCAAATGGGATTGCAAGTGGTGCTGGTGCAGGAGTTGCCGATGGAGTTTTGGAGGAAGTCTCGCACGAAATGCGTTTTTGAGAGATAGCAAATGCACGAAAGCCTATGTTTTTCCATACAAAGTGCGTCCACGAACGTCGATGATCTTCACAGGGACCTACACTACACTCACCCACACTCCCCCCCCCAAAATAATAAGCAATATAGCCTTATTTCGGTCGTTTTTGCCAAAACGTCCGATTTTGGAGGAGAATGCCTTATTTAGGGCTTATTTCCAATGCTTGAATGGTGGTTCGAACATGATCGAAATAAGGCATGATAACCCTTATTTTCACCAGTGCACTTGGCTAAAATAAGGCCATATGAACCTTATTTTTCTTCTGGAACATGATCATGGAATAAGGGCATTTTGACCAGCGCACTTGGTTTAAATAAGGCATGATGAACCTTACCCATCTTCTGGGATAACGAGGGCGACCTCAAATGTGGAATTTTGCTGTTGATGAAATTCATGATATGATGTGGAACCAAAAGTGCAACCGACTTCGACATGAAGGTTACAGTCCTGATCTGTTACAAATTTCCAACCTGATAAACATTTCCCCGGGGGTTCTGCCTTCAACAATTGCGCGGTGTTCAAAACCTCACAATATATCCTTATTTCCATGGTATTAATGAAAACGTTGGATTTGGGAGGACGGGACCTTAATTAGTGCTTATTTGCATTGTTTAGTACTGGTTTGAACCTAACCGAAATAAGGACTATAAGCCATTATTTTCACCAGTTCACTTGGCTTAAATAAGGCAATGACGGACCAATCTTCATCATCCTTGTTCTTAGTAAACCCATAATAAGCTCTTATCCACTGGGCGCTGCTGCATCTGAAGCATGGAAAAGATAGGGATTCAACCAACCGCCTGCAAAGACGACCCACCGGCTTATCAAGGGCTTATCAAGAGTCTATTAATGACTTCTACTCCTGTGATTTCCATCACATTCTCAGCCAATGAACTTTGATCTGTGAGTTGACCAATCCAAGCTCTGTGAGATGACCTGAAAAACATCCTAGTATTTATCACCCTCTGCTGTCAACGCTTGATGATCGCATTTTCCATCGCATGGCCTATTGATGTACTAGTCCCTTTGGTTTTTGGGCTGCGCGTTCCCCTGGATTTTTTTGACGTGAAGAAACTCAAGCTTGGGGGCCCCTTTTTGGTAAGACAGTACAAGTAATGTCCTCTGATGGGTCGAATCTGTAGGTAAACCTTAGGTATGGCTTATTTAGGGCTTATTTAGGTCTTATTATTTGTGGCTTATTGATGCCCTATTCTCTTTGGTTCTTGGGCTGCGCTTTCCCCTGGATCTTTGCGAAGTGAAGACAGTTAAGCTTGGGGGCCCCTTTTGGTAAGACAGTTCAGTACGAGTAATGTCCTCTGATGGGTCGAATCTGTAGGTAAACCTTAGGTGTGGCTTATTTAGGGCTTATTTAGGGCTTATTTAGGGCTTATTTAGGGCTTATTATTTGTGGCTATAAGGTTCCATGAGGTTTCTGGAAACAATTTTCGGGAAGAAAAACGCCAAAAATCTGAGCCCTTCGCGAAGGGCTCAGATTTTTGGCGTTTTTCTTCCCGAAAATGGTTTCCAAAGACTTCCATGGAACTCTATATTTGTGGCTTATTGATGCCCTATTGTCTTTGGTTCTTGGGCTGCGCTTTCCCCTGGATCTTTTTGAAGTGAAGAAAGTTACGCTTGGGGGCCCCTTTTGGTGAGACAGTACAAGTAATGTCCTCTGATGGGTCGAATCTGTAGGTCACCCTTAGTTATGGCTTATTTAGGGCTTATTTAGGGCTTATTATTTGTGGCTTATTGATGACCTATTCCCTTTGGTTTTTGGGCTGCGCTTTCCCCTGGATTTTTTTGAAGTGAAGAAACTCAAGCTTGGGGGCCCCTTTTGGTAAGACAGTACACATAATGTCCTCTGATGGGTCGAATCTGTTGGTAAACCTTATCACCATCTGGATGCTCTCTGTGGCTCAAAGACGAGAATTATTTGCAGGAATGGCTACAAAGTGGGTTCCTCCATAATGTCCTCTGATGGCTCGAATCTGTAGGTAACCCTTAGTTATGGCTTATTTAGTGCTTATTTAGGGTTTATTATATGTGGCTTATTGATGTACTATTCCCCTTGGTTTTTGGGCTGCGCATTCCCCTGGTTTTTTTTGAAGTGAAGAAACTCAAGCTTGGGGGCCCCTTTTTGGTAAGACAGTACAAGTAATGTCCTCTGATGGCTCGAATCTGTAGGTAAACCTTAGGTATGGCTTATTTAGGGCTTATTTAGGTCTTATTATTTGTGGCTTATTGATGCCCTATTCTCTTTGGTTCTTGGGCTCCCCTGGATCTTTTTGAAGTGAAGAAAGTTACGCTTGGGGGCCCCTTTTGGTGAGACAGTACAAGTAATGTCCTCTGATGGGTCGAATCTAATGTTAAACCTTATTGCTGGCCTATTTAGGGCTTATTTAGGGCTTATTATTTGTGGCTTATTGATGACCTATTCCCTTTGGTTTTTGGGCTGCGCTTCCCCTGGATTTTTTTTGAAGTGAAGAAACTCAAGCTTGGGGGCCCCTTTTGGTAAGACAGTACACATAATGTCCTCTGATGGGTCGAATCTGTTGGTAAACCTTATCACCATCTGGATGCTCTCTGTGGTTCAAAGACGAGAATTATTTGCAGGAATGGCTACAAAGTGGGTTCCTCCATAATGTCCTCTGATGGCTCGAATCTGTAGGTAACCCTTAGTTATGGCTTATTTAGTGCTTATTTAGGGCTTATTATATGTGGCTTATTGATGTACTATTCCCCTTGGTTTTTGGGCTGCGCATTCCCCTGGTTTTTTTTGAAGTGAAGAAACTCAAGCTTGGGGGCCCCTTTTTGGTAAGACAGTACAAGTAATGTCCTCTGATGGGTCGAATCTAATGTTAAACCTTAGGTATGGCTTATTTAGGGCTTATTTAGGTCTTATTATTTGTGGCTTATTGATGCCCTATTCTCTTTGGTTCTTGGGCTGCGCTTTCCCCTGGATCTTTGCGAAGTGAAGACAGTTAAGCTTGGGGGCCCCTTTTGGTAAGACAGTTCAGTACAAGTAATGTCCTCTGATGGGTCGAACCTGTAGGTAACCCTTAGTGATGGCTTGTGTAGGGCTGCTGTCATCGCATGCCAATGTCAAAAATCGAACGGGAACATTTCAATCAATAATAAGGAAATTATTGCTTATT